AAGAAAAGAAGCTGACTGACTCTGTTTAGTGGTTGATCCCTCAATATAAAGCTTTACGTATTTACCGAATAAATTCCTTTCTTTTAAACAAGTATATGAGATGGTACATCTGGTGCTATTTCTATATGACCTATATCATCATCTGTTGACACTGCGGTAGACAAGCAGATCTACACAGCACCTCATACAGAAGTGCATCAGTTCAAGTTTCCAAAATTCTTAGGATCATGCAACAAACGAGTGGATAGAAAAAGAGTTATATTAAAGTACCCAAAATTGCATTGGACTAGATAAGAAATAAGTGAAAGCCTGTGAAAATGTTCTAACTTTAGAAAGATATCGAAGAGAACATACATCTTCCTCACTGTGGTCCATTTTGAGCCATGTCATCAAGATTCTCTAACCATTGATTCCTATCTCAAGAACAATCTGTAGATACTTTCTAGATTAAGACCATGCAGTATGGCTGGAAGGGTACATGAATGAAGAAACAAAGAATTCAATTCCTTGATAAGTCCGAAAATATCTGTCGGTATGTAGAAGTGTTTACTTAACAAGCTCAAAGTGTAGAACACGTGGTTGACACCATTTGATCATATATATATATATATATATATATATATATATATATATATATATATATATATAAACAATGGCTTTTAAAGTACCTATGGTCTAAAAAAGATGATGTTTTTTTTATGCTGACAGCAGAATCAAAGCTAAAATTATTTTAAAATACCACTTCAGTTATTATATCGATAAGAAGTATCCACAATCTTCAAACAAATAACTTTCACTAATGGTATTGTGATTTCCTCTAAGATGAAATTGAAAAATCCGCACATACTGTTCATGTATCAGTTGTAAGTGATGAAATACGTTCACTGAATGAACGAGGGTAGTAGCTGAACAATCTATAAAGAAATGGCTGCTATAATTGAATAGCCTAATCAATGGCATTTCAGCAAGGGTAGCTGTGACTCTCTAGGAAGATAAATTTACTCCATAGTTTTGTGTCAGGGCACAGACCTGTGTGAGCTCTACACTGTGTGGTTCGGCGATGTTAGGTTTGCGTTACTGTCAAGTAGAAAACCAGGGATCTTATATGGATCGTATGTTATGGGTCGAGCCTAGTTGCGTACAACAATCAGGATCCTCGTTGCCCTACTGGATGTCAACAGATACATCGTCAAGTTGACTTAGTGAAAACTGCGGCCGACGAGATCAATGTGCGCAAGGTCAGTGGCGCGTGTCACCGAAGCATGGATGGTCGTCAAGATCCCCCCCCCAATCTGCTGGAGCAGTGCAACCAAAAGGTTAGGTGGACCCAGCTTCCTAATTCCTATAATCACTGTTGTTGAAGTAATCGCAAGAATCTGAGTGTAGTTCACTTTCTGAAGGATTCCCGTTTTGTTAATCACAGTCTTTCCTGTTTATCTAGCCACCGCTGCTAATCTGTCGGCTTTATGGAATCGTGGGTGAGGCCTCCTCGTGGCAAGGAGAAGGTGAGTTTCATTGAGTCTGCAAAGCTGTTGAGACTTCAGTGAGATGTGTCCCATGCACGTCTGCCTACAAGGAGTTGAGTAAGGTCAACGAACCGGTTACACGGTAAATGTGGATTCGTTGAAGACTGACAGGTGCGATGGTTGCGGGATAACGCTGATCAATTTGAGAGGGTGTTAACATAATGCTTTGGCAGGAGTGTTCGTTTTCATGTGAATGAGTTGTTCAGATGTTTCCTGCTTGTCCAGAAGACCGATCCGCCAGGTTGCGCTGGGACGTCCTTAGGTCTGAAGACCAGTATGGAACCTAAAGCTATGATAAAAACCGGAGTGAAAACTCAACATAATAATAGGTACAGAGCATTATAATTAGTTCCAGTGTTGGTTAAAATAGCAACCAGCTGTGTGATATACACATCTATAGATGAAAAGTTTAAACAGTGCAAAAATTTCATTCTTGGTTCCTATGGTATTTATCACTGAATACTTTGAGTCTTAAGAAAGCAAATAATATCTACTACTATAAAGTTCGCAAATATGAAACTGAGTATACACTATTTATCTTGACGTGGATTTGGTTGACACATTGGGATCTTTGAAGATGTGAAGACTTTCACAGATATGACAACAGGTCAGTGACAAAAGTACTAGCTCTACGTCTTAAACCTGAAATTAGTTGGTAGGATATACAAGCCCAGTAATGAGCTATGCTGAAAAACGAATGTCAGTTTTTGAAGTAATATTTGCGAAGCAAATATTTGCCTGGTTAATTAGTAGTCGAGGAATATAGTAGAATAACTTGATGAAAAAATTGTGTTTCCATTTTTATTACAAATCAGATTGAAAAGAGAAGTTTGAATACTGTAAAATATGCTTTACACTTTATTCTTCTAAATCTTATTAATTGTCGGTGACTTCGTTTTCTGTAACTTGTTTATTTATTTTTCTCATTTCATGAGAGTTTTAGACAAAATGTGGCACAGAATTTGCACTTTTTATGTTATCAACTTCTTATGGGTACATTGAATGATATCACTGAAACTCTGCGAGGTCAACCAAAAGAGAGTGCTAAGTTGTGCATCTGTTCCGATAAACGGAGCCTACAGTTAATATTCAATTTGCTCAATGTTTTTTTAAAAAAAACGTTTGTATAGACTATCGTTCAGAGAGTTTATAGATAGATATGATGTACAGTTCTGTTCATTTTGAGATGTTAATATTCATCTCACCTTATATACAGACAGTCTGGATGGTGTATGTTTCTCAGATGTACGTTGTGGACCACATTATGAGTATAACACATATGCACCTACACAATGCGTTCAACACAGGATATCTAATGTAAGCTGTAATAACAAAGTCATTTGCAGATTGTTCGAATAAACAGCTGAGACGTTTACTGGGTAGAAACAGAGGAATGGAACTAAGTTAAAATATTTCCCTCTGAATTGATTTATGCTCCTCAACGTTAGTCACCAAATTCAATATAAGTGTTTAACTACGACTTGCTAAAAGTAGAAAGTTAGCATCAGACACTTTACTTTTTGGAAAATGATGAGAAAATACAAGTTAAGTCAACAAAGCTGTTCACTGTCCTCTGATTTCCTACCGTTCCCAATGTCTGACCTATTAAGTGGTAGTTCAGCCCAACTTCAAAAGCTACTTTTTGTACGCTGTCCGAAAAAGAAAGTACAGAAGCGTTTTCTGCCTTCTGGTGGTTAGAAAACCAACTGAATCTTGAACAACGACAATTTTATCTTTGTTTATATCCATTTTGAATACCGGCTTTTCTCCTTCTTTATTTCAGAGTTATAAAAAAACAGCATACAGATATAAATATTACTGAATAACAAATTGATTGACAGTCTGTGAAAATGATCGTACAGGTGCATCGTCATCGATAGTGGTTTTTGGTGGGACTGAAATGTTCTATTGGTCGTTCTGTTATGTGAATTATAATATCTTGGTTGTTTGTATTCTCTAAGCTGGGTTGTTTAATCTTTGAGCTTTCATCGTCTTTCCAAGTGACATCATCAGCACTAACTTCAAAATGAATGGAGCTGTCACTATCTCTCTCTGAGTGACTCAGTAGCTTGCCTTAATGAACTGGTTTGTGATTGATTGTTTCCTTTGATTGTTGTCATTGTCTGCATAGATTTTCTTGTTGGCTGTCCCTCGACTTGACCTCTAACCTTTCTCTTGTCCATTATTTTTCTGATTGGTTTATCGATTGGGGTTATGTCAATACATCTGTTGATTGCTGACTGACCTGAATGCCAAGCTTCTAAGAATTCTTTGACTTTCTTTGTTTCTTCGGTCCACGATGTCTACCTTGTCAAAATCGAATTCATGCATGTGGGTGACTATGTGTTCTGGTTTCGAAGGCTAATGGTTATATATATATATATATATATATATATATATATATATATATATATATATATATATATATATATATTCCGAAACGAATATAATACGCGCGCTTAGCTGACAGCTAACTTGGTACGCAAGAGTCACTGACTGCGATCCCGGGACGAATAGAGAGAAGACCGAAGCTGGCAGATGGGAGAGTGTATTACTCCGAGAATATAATATATAATATAATAACAATGAATCAATGCAAAACACGTGAATAAGTATACACATGAAAAATGACCTCGTCCGCAATTGGAGAAATAGTCATATTGTAAAAATGGTGTGGGAATGACACGTTAAAATGTTCAGATCAATTACAATGTTTTATACAAACTGAGGCATCACAACACTATGAATATCAAAGGGAACAACCAATCACAGACCAGCTCGTCAGGGCAAGCTACTGAATCACTCAAGCAGAAATATTGACAGCTCACTTCATATTGAAGTTAGTTCTGATGATGTCGCCTAGAAAGACGATGAAAGTTCCACGATTGCAATACACAGCTCAAAGAACACACCACAACCAAGACCATCCACCTGAGCTACAAATATTCCCCGCCATTTCAGAATTATAATATTTCTTCATATTCACATATATACGTTGCAACCTTTTACGTAATTCTTTCTAATGACTAGTCACGCATTCATTACTAATTAGTGCAATGATCTCTGTCTGGAATCACCCATAAATGACCAATAATCTCATTACTGATTGTTATTTATTCGAAGCAATTATTAATTTTCTGGTGAATGAATTCAACTCTTTTTTGTGATATTTTAGTCTGCGTCAGACCCGTGAATAACGTTAAACAAAGCTTCTAACAGATTTTTTTTCAAATCTGGTTAACAGTAGACAGTATTGTTTGTTTTTAGCGGCTAATTTTATTGATTAAGCTTTACCGAAAGTTATTGGCTCAAATGCAAGCAGTTCATTTCTATGCTTTCATCAGTGATACTTCATTTTTAGTGATGTTCATCTCCTGTGTGGTTCATTTTTCTGTTCTACTAAGCAAAATCGTAGTAATAATTTATGATGGTATTTCTTAATGTCTTACTTCGTAAATACTCACTTTTTTATAGTCAGCAGACACGAAGGAGGAAACTGGACACTGTCAGTCAAAACAGAATCCTGTTCAAGTTAAGTTTTTTATGGTTGGTGTGTGTATACTTGTTGTCTTTATTACGTAGACTTTTGTTTATTTGTGTTCATGTTTCTATTAGAATAATAAAATATGTTTTAGAGGGCAGTCTGATGCATCATTGTTCATGTATTTAAGTGAAGTGAATCTGGAATCTGATCAGACTTTTTGTCTGGTAGCTCAGCTAGCTTTAATTCGATTTGTAAGCGGGGATAGTCGATGAAAGCTTGTTGGTTTGCAAGAGTTAATACCTTTGAAGAAGAAGACGTTTAGCAACATTTATAAGGCAGCATCAATCGGCAGGATAATTGGGGCGTCACTTCAAGTTACTGAACTTCACGACAGCAAACAAAAAGGAAAGGAACAGTGAAGCAAAGATACTTAAGTACAGGAAGTGGATGGAAACAGAAGGAATAAATTATTAAATTTTTGTTAAAACATCCTAAATTGTAAAGGCAATGTAGAGTGAATGCATCTGCCTCATCCTAGTTTATTTCTGTTGTGTTCCCAAGCTTCTCCGTAGACTAACTTCTAACGTTCCCAGCCAAAAAGCTTATGCATTTTGCATTTCTGAGACTGGTATTCGCTAAATTCATTTGTTTGTACTACATCTTGGCCTAAATATCCTTCACTTTCTTACAAACTTATCCTATTTCTGATGACATCATGCTCCGGAGTGCGTGGCACTGACACGTGCAACATATTCAAGTCATCATTGTTGATGAAGGTTTACATTTTCATTATTCTACACCTTACCTCATAAATACTAAATCAGTGTTTCCACTGCGTACCATTGATCCAGGAGTTTTGAGATGCTAATATTTTGTCTGTAGACGGACAGAATTCATACAGTTCGCTGGTGGTTGTAATCACTACCAGGTTTTTTCTGAGAAATGTCATCTTTCCTCTCAATGACCCACAGTTCACCAACTGAAGCATATGTTTACTTCAGTCGCATTAAAGTCTGATCACAAATAACATAAAAATTGCGTAGAGTTAATACTTAATTCTACTATTTATAAATGACTTTAAATCTAGTGTACCGTTAACAAACAGAATAAATGAGTGCCCATATTAAGGATGCTATCAATGTATTCGGTAAACAGTAGAATTTTAACTTGAGATATAAAAAAAGGAACTGTCTACTTAAATTAAGGCACTTTTTGTTAGAACTGATATTCAGATATCTATCATTAATTTTAGACACAGAAATGTTCAGTAGAAGACGAAACTTTTACGTAAAAGTAAAATTATTTAACCGTGTATCATGGATGTGCTCTTTTTGGCTGACGTAATTCTTTCTATATTTAAAACAAGAAACAAACTTTATTAAAGCAGGATTTATTGAGTTCATAGAACTAAGTAGGACTCGACAGCTTTCTATTCTACATACATGATTTTATATCTTGTTATGCAATGTCGTATCGGTATTCCAAGAAATCTTTTATAATGGAGCTTCATGGGATTTTTGATTCAAACATTTAGAAACTGATCTCGTTTTAATTTTCTAAACACGTTGGGGTTGTATATCAACACTTACTTACTTACTACCTATTCTGTTCAAAATGAAGCAATCCATCCCTGGTCGTTGTACTCATTATCAATTTGTTACCCCTCCACCACATTCATAACTCTAGTTGGCCCAGTTAAATTATTCACATTTCATGTTGCCATATCTCATTCAATGTCTTAATCTGTAATATATATGTATGTATTCCTTCATTGCATAACAGAATATAAAATCATGTATGTAGAGTAGAAAGCTGGCAGGTCCTACTGAAATTCATCTATCCCATAAATCCCTCTTTGATAACCTTTATGGCTTGTTTTGAATTTGTATGGGGAAACAAATCGTTTCAATTCTTAATAGATTGTTTATGAACTCCACTTCTGTGCACTGTAAATTCTAAACTTTTGTTACGATATACTCAGTCAGAGTTCATCCCTTGGGTCGTTTTTATGTACTTTCGGAAAACTAATAAAAGTTGTATTGGGCGTCGTCTATCTCTCATAACTCTTTAATAGCTTATAGCTGAGGAATCCACACTGTCTAACGTTCGTATAAGCCACTGTGTTAAATATAGAGATATTTTGTCATTTAAATAGAATATATTAGCTTCTGAAACTTGGTATACTTATATGATGATCTTAAATGTCGTTATTTATTCAATCGAAAGTTTATTGTTGTCTTTTTCCTACTGTTATAATATGGTAAGCACCAGTTTTGCTACATCACAAAGATATATCCTTCAGCCTATCCTACGTGTTCAATGTTGACCTTCATTGGTTTTCGAAGTTTCTTTACAGACACGTTTGCTTTAAGTGTTTGGATTTGTAACTTATTTTAAAGGCATACTGATTAATAGATTGATTTGTTATTCACTACTGCGAGGTGCGTATCGAGTAGCAGAAAGTAAGCAATTAGTTGTGTGTTTTTTAAGACAGAAAACAGAAGATAAAGGTGTATATGATATGGCATGTTCACGCGTTATTTTTCAAAACAGTATGATAAAAACAGATTGATTGTAAAGAGAATGGACGCGAAATGCGACATTTATCACACAGTTTGCAGTTATTTAAGTCATCATTTAAGGTGTAAAAAATCCAATTTATTAACATTTTAAAATTTTCTCTACTGTCGCCGCTAAACTCTATATAGGTTCAAATATTACTAGGCAGTTCTGGAGTTTACTTCGCTTTTGTCTGTGCATTCATCATTATGCCGTTTTGGAACATATCACTTACTACCATATCAGTCAAACAGCATAACTACAAACCTAAATGACTGTGATCAAGTTATCATCGAAGAGGAAATGGCAGGTGGACTAAATAGTGCTAGTAAACTACAGTTATGTGCATGCCCACAATTTTTTCAAGCTCTCAGTGCTAATTTTAAACAATTATTCTCACCAAAATTATGGAAAAATTCTAATTTCATATTTTATGTGATGGCAAACGGTATCACTGGTGCTGGCGTTGTCATACCGTGGACATTCATTTATGATTATGTTTTATCCACTTTAACCTACTTGAATCAAGAACAGCAAATCGGATCTGTAAGCAATGATGATATTTCATGGTTACTATCTTTAATCGGATTCGGTTTGTTATTTGGTAAGTCCTATATACCAGTTTATTCGTTTTAATGTACATGAAAAAATTCAACATCAAGTGAAGGATCTATTATAATTTTCTGAAAATAACTGACACCATTAGTCAATATTAAACACTCAGTATGGAGTTATATTCAAAGGAGCAAAGCTCTCCAAAGTGAATTGTAATTTGTTACCATCAAGATAAACGTAAATCTCAGAGATGATATTGCAAATTGACTGCATCTCTATATCAGTAATTACATCATAATAGTCTTGCCAAAAATAGCGAGGTTTTCGGTCTTGATCACAAAAGAGAACTAGAGTACATTTTGCAAAGTAGGTGTTCATCGTTTATGTAATGATTCGGTTTTTTTAAAAGTTATTCGTGTACCAAAATTCACTGCCTCCACTTGAATAACCAGTCGCAAATAAAACTATTACAAACACGTTCAAACCGATATCTTGAGTTGGCTAGTCAATATCCTCAAGGTATGTAGCAATACTGCGTAACACTTCATATCATCGCATCAAGATACAACGTAGCAAGTTGCAAAATAAAGAATATCGTTAAAATACAAGCGCAACTCTACAGTTTCCAGTAGCCAAAAATATCTCAAATTTTCATCCTCAAATGTACTAGGGCAATTGTTTTTTAGAGTTTAAAAATCGCTATGCGTTTCAGAACATATCGGCTTGATAGACTGTGCAACGTATTTATAACAAAGTTATTACCGGAAAATGTCAGATCCAATATCGACGTTTTCAAACACCATGGTACTCAAAGCGGTGGTGGTACATACATGCATATAAGTGAAGAATTGACTGAAACAATACCTGGATATTTTATTTTTCTGAACAGAAGTGTAACCTTTCAGTCTCAGCTGCCAACGTTGTAAAGTGTTCTGTTATAAGATGTGTTCTGCCTTCTGTACTCAACTTATCAGACTGCATATTTTAATGCTTACCTGTACTAAAATTGACTACCATCTGTAGCGTCCTTATATTTTTTCGATCAAATCCTTTTGTGTACCTTTCTCCTCCTCTATACCCATGTGTATATCCCCTCTTAATCGGACACATGTGATCTCTCTGTACAGACATTTTATATTGATTGTAGGAATTTACTCGGAAGACTAATGTAGCACGATGACATTACCCTGCAGTTTTTCTGCGATCGCACCACAACTAACATAGCAATAATAAAGTATTTGGCGGTAAGTTTAGCTGTATAAAATAAAGGAATGTAAATTAAAATCACTTATACAAATAAGCCAAGTAATTCAGGGTTAGTGATAAATTTAATTGATCTGAAGTAGTTTCATCACCTAGAATGAAGCTATGTGACAAAACTAAGCAACAGTTGCTGGGAATTATTTTTTGACTGTTCATCAATAAATGATTGCCAATAGGTGGTTCTAAATTCCTATTTCGGTTTAGTTCATTTGATTGGATTGAATCCCTTGAAAATGATACAAAGCATGTCCTTTCTAGTGGAACTGCATCACCTTGCTAACTCAAACTTCGGCGTGCTTGAAGTAAAGCAGTGCGTAATGTTAACCAAAAGTTGATCAAATTGCGTTCACTACATCACTGAAAACTTTGAAAGATCACCTTCCTAATCACACCACTTTTGAGCGGTATTTTAATGAAAACGATTGCCTTTTTTGTGGTAATTGTATTTTAACTAGGTCTCTTATTTTTCTATTGTGACACATAGCTAAGCTTCCCATGTTCTCAGCTGTCTTTAAAACTTAAGATATACGTCATTTTTCAATATTCAGTGTAACATTTACAGACATTCTTCAAACTTTTGGGTAAATATGCTAAGTTATTACCTGTTTTCGATCACCGCTGCCTTAGCATGGTTTCTCACATTCGGTGGTAGCCCAATACAAACAATTCTGAGATCGTGTTTTGACCTCAAAGAATATTGTTGGCTAAAGCTCCTGCACTAATTGCCACTGATGGGTGTTGATTAATCTCAATGATCTCAAGAATGCGGTGAATTTTCGCATGCTATTTAATACTCAGTATTTTAATTTCAGGAGTCGGAGGTAACCACCAAAAGTTGTGTATGACAGTGGTTTGGTGCTCATTATTACTCATCATTCCTTAGTCTTCGCCTTAGCATTACTGTCAGGTGACAGAGCAATGAAGTATTCAGTTCCCCTTATCTTATATTTCAACTACTTTCAACACGATTCGCTTAACTGGAGGTTGTAACAAATATCCGTTTTTGTCTACAGAACTGTAAAATATTCTTCTCCTAACAGCAGTAACTGTCATGATGAACTCAATTTTTCTTCACTTTTTCATTAGGCCAACTGTTTTTCGGTCTGATAACATCTCAGTTTGGTGATGTTAAAACCTTGTGCATAAATTGTAGTAAGAATATTGGTATTGATGATTGTTGTTGTTACAAACCGACCTCTTGTCAAATTACGAGCATCAAAAAAGTAAACGCACCAAGTATCGATTTCACTTGATTATATTTCTTATGATACTTCTATTGAATAGCGTAAGCACATTGAGTATGGCTCTCATACCTCTATCATTTATAAAAAGTTCAACCAGACACTTTCAGCTGTTTTCTTGTCCAGAGGGAAAACTATTGGCGCTAGCATGTTTCTCTGTCGGAGTTTCAAATGGTGGACTATACGTACTTTTTCCTCAGCTGATCATTGACATTGTAGGCATTGAACTTTGGTCTGCTGGGCTTGGATTATTTCTAGCCTTCAATGGTGCTATGAATTTGTGCGGAACTAATATTGGTGGTAAGTTATCTCAGCGTTTCCTTTGTTGTTTACGAATTGTCGCTTAATTCCAAATACCCACATCAGTGTTTGTTGTCAAATACCTATGAAATCTCACTTATTTTAGTCAAGGCTATAAATGTTTTTTAGTTTGCCAATGTTGAGAAAATTCGAAATCGAATTCTGCACTACTGTTTTGTGCCCAGAGGACATTTTACTTACCTGAACACAACCATACTCGCGAACTAGTGACCGTTAGTTTGTGAATTCATGGAGGTGTTTCGAGAATCTATTGAAATGAGACTAACTTTTCCGAGATTACAAACTAGATATTGTTTGTAATAGATTCTATTAGAATGAAACATTTAGTTTCTATGTCTGAAAATCTAGCAAACATAGTGGAATATAAACGTCAGTCACAGAACTAACACTTATACTAGTGTAATTTTGAATTAGTTTTCTTTAACTTGCTCACTTTTCGATGAAAATGAGAGTAAACAAAGACGGTTGTTAAAGTTATTGTGGAAGGTAAGTATAAGTTCATTCAGGTTACTGGTATTCATTCTCGCTAATATTTACTTATCCGAAGTTGCTTTCGCTAATATCTGAAGGATTGCCTCAGGAACTGGTGTTGCATCCGGTACGTCTGATTTATCAGATGACGATTTTATTTCCTTGTTCCTCGTGTCCAGTCTAGTGTGTCCTAAACACTAACGTGCACACAGAAATTTTACTGTTGTTGACAATGAAATAAATTTTAATCACAGTGGTATTCTTCATATTCACATTCTTGAAAAATAATTTAGTAACTACTGCTAAGGAAACACAACACCTTTTAATTATCATTCATCGACAAAATTGTAATTTCTTGAGAAAGTTTTACCATATTCCATTTTTGATTCCCAGGACTGAATTGGTCAGTGTGTGGGTACTTTTTGAGAGTGCTTTGATACTGCCTGTGAATAAATTTTGTTTGCATGGATCAGAGACTGACAGACAGATCAATGTCCTATACGGGACTGATCAGTTGAAGACATCTGCAACCCAGTTTCGGTATACCCAGTAAAACTTACGTGGAACATCTATCTTTCCAGGTAAAACTGTTAATCGTCAGACTGATAAGTCATAATAGCCGCTTCCTTCACAACAAGTCGCTTGTGATGTATGAAGTTAGATTTCCCACTATTCATTCTACGACACTTTTCGTTGATAATAAATCTATTCTGTTCATAGATGCTCGAATATTGATCGAGATTGGGTTGAGTTTCATAGTTATTAGAAGTTATGGTCCATTGGTCTAGGCAGTTGACTTCCACTCAGTAAGTTACTTTTCCAACCTCGCTCCACCTATTGAAGTTTAGCCAGTTAAGTAATACTATTAGCCGTCACACAATTGATATGGTTCATTGCCTATTGCGTGAACCTGCATGTGCTCGCCGAAAGAGTTTAGTTTTCAAAAAATTACAATGATAGCCACCACTTAGGATTTTTGAAGCTTCGATAAATGGTCGTGAGCAATCAAATATTTTACCTTTTATTTGGTGATATTTTGGTTTTAGTATCATTACTTTAAGTGATATTCTACACAACAAGTAATATATTCTCCTAACAACTCAACCTGTAGCCATACGAAAAAAGTTGACGTAATTTATTGATAACTGTAAGTGACTACTTTAAGATTCACAGAGGTAAACAAAGATTTCATCATTTTATTGATACTTCATTAAACTGTTGTCAACTGAACTATGTTGTCCCAGTGGTCTCATACTACATCATATTATGGGTACGTATAATTGAGATAAATACAATAGATGGCAAGTAGTCAAAAAAACTTGACAATTAGTAAACTGCTCTTTCATTCTGAGAATGTAGTTTGAGCCAACCTAAGAATCAATAGAGACTGCCAGCAACACGAAAATCTTTCGGAAATGGTTGCATTTCCCAATGTAAGTCTAGTGAAATAAGTTCCAGTGATAAAAATAATGAATTAGGAAATATATTCGACGTCTCATTTTCAAATTCCATTAGTAATGCATATTTTTCTACTGTACAATATGTCTTACTAGGTCGAATCAATGATATCAGAGGTTCATATCAAATGGCCTTCTTGATTGCCGCAATTCTTCCATTAATTTCTTTTCTCTTAATGGTGGCAAAAGAGTTGTTCCCATGGTTACGACATCGCTCCACCTTATCTGTAATTACCAATATACAAGTGAGATAAAATTAAATCTAAGGATATGGGTACAAAGAATAATGTTTGTCTTGGTTTAGAAATTTTGTTCATTTATCCAATGTTGTCAGAATTTACAAATATCATGTTTTTTTAGTATCTTACAAAATGATTTACGTGCCACCGATAAAATGAAACCATGTATCTAAAGGCTTAGAATTTAATAAGAATATTCTTTTATTGTGATTTTTCAAACGCAAATTCACAACATATCACTTGAAGTTTGTTTTTGTTGAATGATTAACTAATATGCGAAATTAGTTTTCTGAGTGAACAAAAGTAACCGGAAAGTTGCAGCAGACTTTTGTTTGTCATTGCTAAAGAGGTCTAACATAATAATCATAGGAAGGAAATATTATTACACTATTTAATTCAAAGTATTGTTTTTCATGAACATTTCATTGTTATCCATGTATGTTTCAACCTCATTCATGGGACATTCAAGTGAACTATGACATCAATTTACATGTGTTTATAATATGGTTGGAGTCAGATTCTCTCACATACGTACCGTTTCTACACTACGCTTACCACTCATGTATATTTTGTGTCAAAAAGATAAGTTCTGGAAAGGAGTGGGGGGAGTAACCTACTGGAATCTCTTTCAATATGAAGTATTTTAACTGTGAACTAGTTAGTCTAAACCAGTTTCATTTCACACTCACTTCTTAATTGCGAGGAATAATCCAGGATGTAGAATGAAGGTATTCAGGAGTCTAAGTAATAAAAATAAGAATGTTCAGAGTATAGGAAAATATCCCAAATAGTGACAATTTAGTTATCCATAGTTCATGAATTATAAAATCTAAAATTACTACCTGCAAATTATATGTCAGTTGGATTGAAAGCCAAAATATCAGTTCTTTCTCTTCTTGTCGTCTATTTCCCACTCAAGTGAGATTTAGCAGTGAATGAATATTCTACTTTACCAATAAACTAGTGTATCCGTGTCTACATCATCCATTAGTGCATTCCAGGGTGCACAGACTTAAAGTGAAGAGAAGCGAGATTAAATTTAGATGTGTACACTTAATATGCAGTCACAATAATTCAGGGCTAAATTCATAATTGGCTCAATTTCAATGTGATAGGCGATGGGAAATTCTTAATATATTCCTCTAATTACATCTTACAACAATAATTGTGATATCAAAAAAACCTAGTGATATGTTTTTTAATCACTTTTATTTGTCTTTAAATTATAAACGAAGAGTTCGTAAAGTTTGATTGATTAAAAATTTTAACTGGCTAGACGTGGAAATCGTTTTTCTCTGTTATCATAACTACAGAGAGAAGCACCGATATGTTTCACCTCGGTATCAATAATGAAGTATTATTTACTGGATGACATTTCAAACAAAATTTATTGCTCGTAATCATTCAGGTTGTCCAGTAAACGATACTGTATCACTGCGTGTCATATGATATTGACAATCTCTTATGGAATTATATTGTCATAGTGCCGAGATTTTTATGACCATATAAAAAGATACTTGTCGGACAAACAATGCAGCCCGTTCCATGACATGCCAAAATGTAGGATTTCAGCACATTTAGTTCTTTGTAAACCTCACATCCGTCTACTATAAGCAAGCTTTATTGGGACAGTTTCTCCTCTATGCCTATATCGAACATTCTTAGCTTGTTTGTTCATATCACCCTATGACTATACTAGCAGTCTGGCTCTTGATATGGTCATCTTGGTATTACCATGATATTCCTTTTATTGTTTCCCAGTAGTGCAGTAAATACGCACTTCCTGTCTACACTTGTCAGCTGTTTGTAAGTGGATCTGAGTTGATGTCCCCACGAAATCCTAGACCTGGAGCTCATTATTTTTTGACACTAGAACGTCATCATCTAGGCTAAATGATAAAAACTGTTGGAATGCTGATGTATCTATACAGAATGTCCATGTCGACAGTGTAATGAGTGATACTAGCGAGTTTCGAGTGATGGATATCGGTCTTGAATATGAATTGGAAAAACAACATCACTTCTTGCTCACTTCATAGCTAAGTCGCTAAATTGATGAAATGCTTTTCCTGGAATGCACTACTGACCATCGGCAAAGAGATCAAACAGTTTCGTACCACAAATAGTTAAACAAGCAAGTAAATACTGTAAAAGCAAATGAAATATAACCTGAGGAAATGTGAGTACAGTGTGCACTCTTCGCTTGACGTGCAGTCTAATTTGGGTGTTGTTTCCGATCGCTTTTCCCACTTGGGAAATTTAAATCGGTCATTCCACTACATATCGCCGGACATACGCTCAGTAATCTGTTCGTGCAATGAAATCAGGAGATCCAAATTGACTGTTAAAAGATGCTAGAGGACTATTGTTGCTTAATGATTCTCCCCGTGGAGTTTATCAAGACGCTTCTGACATGTCAATGGCAAAGTCTGGCTCATCGGTTTAGTCACTCCTAAGTTTAAAGTAATAGGTTCAAATGGAGCTCTAGTCTACTTATTTCGGTAAGAGCAACCGGATGGTATCATAGTCGCTTACATATTGGGTAGGGGGAGTGACTCATAGCTGAGATCACAAAGTTGCACTGATGAGGTGGTTCAGAAATGAGGGAAGAAACATCACTGTGAACGATAATTGTTGGGCAAGTGGGAAGGAATTCGAATCCCATGAGGTGCAGCTAATATCAGGAATGGACATATGAAATTCCGCTCAAGATACTGGACAAGACTTAGCTCTAGGTAATGTTTGAAAATCCAACCTCAACCAGAAGAATACTGAGGTCAAACTGGATAGTTGGGGTCGGTAAATTATTGGGATATAGAATGAGATACATATTTCAATTGGCAGGGAAAATGTCACTGTTAGCGAGTATTAATTCATAGTGATACAATACAGGTGGTGAGAAAGTAACGGTCCTAAAGTAAAACATTAGTGAGGTGGGAAGTTAGATAACTGAATAAGTGCTTCAGAGACCCAGCACCATCTATTCCAGGCAGTCGGGAAACTCAACTATCACTAACATTGAAGGACTAGAAACTGTAGGACTACGAATATCGTCGTAAAGTTATCCAACCACCTCGATACACACGTGGGCAAAAACTTGTGACATATCAAATAAATCAACGAGCGTGAGAAATTCGATCTACAACTGCACAAAATCTACGCTTATACTAATTGTTTTTAGTTGGAAGTGGATCTGAAACTGGACAAAGCGAAATGGCAGTATGCCGTGAATATGGCCAGTGATTGTTATTAGTAGTAGTATTATACGTGTGTGCGATGAGAATGAATCGCACAAAGGTGAAAAGGATTAAGTGAAGTAAGAACTGATACCTCGGACTGACCATTTTTCTCTCACTAAATTCTCCCACAAATATATCTATCAGTGATAACTGTACTCATCATGAGGCCATCTGCACGCTTTCTGTTCAGACTTGATCTGTTGTTTTAGTCGATTGGTAGGTGTTATTCAGTGGAGGTTGAATGACAACCTGAAAGGTAAGATTGGACCGTTCCATTTTCTAAGACCTATCTCATGAAAACCATCATTACTCTGCGGAAATGAGTTCCAATCTGCTTACAGCTGTTGAGTGACAATAAGTGATTTCCGTCTAATAACTGTCACCTCTTATCCTAAATTTTTGTTGACTTCTTTAAAAGTAACGGTTACATTGTGATGAGATTTATCAATTCAGCATAATGGTGTTTGTGAGTCGATGCCTAACATTTCTGGTTATGTATGGTAGATTATACATTGGTTTTCTTAACTCCGTATATCTGCCTGATCCTTTTTGATAAGAGAAATCGGTTGTGACGTAACTAAATCTAAGTTCTCCTTCGTAAGTGTTTCCAACAATCAACAGCTGTGTGTTGTCACCAATCATCCATCGTTGTAGCGCACTTACAAGCAGGTCCTAATGGTTAAGCGGAAGTTTTCCTCGAATATGTATTGAAACATCAAATGCAAGTAAAATTCAGTTATCATGTTTGCGTAAGCCTAAATCAAGATAAGCATATCCTTTTCTATAGGTTTCATAGCATCTATGGCGAGGAAGCAAGAAATTCCTGTGTGCTTTCAAATAGCCTGGATGAAGACAAGAAGCTACTTCGTCGGCACTCATTAGCGTCAACAATAACAGGCGTAAACAACTGTTTTCTATATATCGCAGAAGTAAAAAGAAGAGTTTGTTACCTAACTGACGCCAGCACGTAAATAAGCGTTAATTTCCATGGTCATCATTGAATGATTAACTAATTTGTTCTTCAGTCTGTAAGTGACTGACAGACAGCTAACTCCAGTCCCTGGAAAAGGTTATCCCAATCTTAACCTTACTCCAAATAACTATTTAAGAATGTTTTCAAGTGTCTGGAGAAATTGACGGGCTGATCTGTACATGTCGTTCGCTGTGCAGGAGATTGTGTTGTGACAACATCGCCGTATGGTTCGTCAAGCCCCTTGAATACTGAAATGTTTTATCCAGTCGGTTATTCTGAAAGGAAACGGTACTGTTTACGATCGATTCCCCATCGGGTTAAACCGTTACCAAACAGCTGATACCGGCAGTATCTTTATTGTCGTTTCGACCGATAATATGAAACACTTCATGTCATTTGATGACTTTAAATGGTTCTTCGTAGTGATTCAAGCGTTCAAAACATGGCAAATAAAAACGTAATATTTTCTCTTAATGGAGTGACTGAAGACGGTTGTATATGGTCACGAAGGAGCAGACATAGGTAAATGTGTTGGGTTTTTAATCCAAGTTACGTGAGATATCCGACTAATAACGGATATAAACATTGATTTGCAATTGAGATGCACCCACCTGATAGTCGAAAGACAGACGAGTTCTGAGAAATGGTAACCATGATCAGCCTTCAAGGTGTTCAGGATATCCAGCGGTATTCGAGGTTGTGGCTCGATCCACCAAGAAGTTTTAGGGACTATCCTTATGCAAACTTGAGGCACTCGGACACCAATCACTAATTCCTCCCAGTTATAATATGCCCACGAGTGC